CCACTCACTCACTCACTCACCCACTCACTCACCCACTCACTCACTAACCCACTCACTCACCCACTCACCCACTCACTCACGCATTATTTGTATTCATGGAGCGCCTCAACTCAAGGTGCTTTACGTCGTTTTAAAGCAGTAAAAACCACTCGGGTGGTTTAGATGGCAAGGGCAGTGCAAGGTCCGAGGTTTGAGTGTCCGTACCAGAGGGCACGTGGGGAGGGGGATCACGGAAGGGCTATAGGAGAGGGACGACCGTAGGGGTGAGGGAATTGGCCATGGAGAAGAGCCGAGGCTTTAAGAGTGGAACGGAATTGAGGATTTGTGTGCAGATCTCTCACTGAGCCGTTTCCACCGTTATCAGAAGCGACCTGACCACAAATGATAACTCGACCAAGTGGCTGATCACCGCGTGGAAATTCATTGCAGCCAAACACCCTAAACAAATATTGTTACACGGGTGGGAAACGGAGTGGGCTGGAGGCCCAACCGGGATTAATTCACAAGAGGCAGGGGATTCGTTGTGTATGTCTGTGGATGTCTGTCCACGTGGGAGGGGTCGGGGCTGGGTGGAGGGGGGAGGGAGGGGAGGGGCTGGGTGGGGAGGGGTGTGGCTGGGTGGGGAGGGGCTGGTCACCCCGTGGTGCCCCCCTTATAAAACTCAACGTTTCACCGACTCACGCCGGCTTGTGCCCGCCCTCACAGTCGGGCATCTTGTGCTGAACGCACCACCAACACCACGTGGTGGTGGTGCCGCTGTTGACCCTGGCCATTGACCGAGCAACCCAAACATTCCAACCAGCAGCTCCATCCCTCCCTCCGCAGGAGATTGTGTTAAGTGAGAGACACACGGACTCCAAATATACAGCAGGCGTCAGGATTGGAATCGAACCCACGAACTCCTTTATACCGGGCGAGAGAGTCAACATCTCACCATTGTCACGCTCCTGTAAGATGTGGAGGTTCTGATAGACTCTAAGAGGGGCTGTCTCGAGACATTGCACGTACACAGCTGAACTCAAGACTGCCTGCAGGGGCTGAGCACCGGACGCTATTGCACGAAAATCCAGTCGTTCACTGACCCCATACACCTTGCAAGCTGAGACCACCGATTCTACGTGGTCTCTCTCCTGCATCTATATACAACGATTACACCCCTTCATTTCAACCTGATAACCACCAGCATATCCCATAGTCCGCACGAAGAGGCGAAGCAAGCGAATGGAGTCGCAGCAAACCACCAACTCCAACTTTCCGGTATTCTGTGGACGCTCGCGCGCGCTGCGTTTCACACCACGTTTGGTTTTCAGGGGTTTGGGCGCCGCGCGGTGGTGGTGGTGGTGGTGGCATGGCATCGACATTCGAGCCGTCGGCCCTCCGGCAACCCGGCGAGACCGTCGCCACCAAAGACAGAAACATTGCGGTGAGTGTTGCTACGGGCGGAAACTCGCAGCCAACGCGCCGCTGTCCGCGGGATACCACGCGGTCATTGCGTTGGCGAGCGCTTTCCGCAGAACCGTTATAACGTGGAATGCGCACACCGTTATAACGTGGAAAGCGCCGTTATAACGTGGAATGCGTCGTTATAACGTGGAATGTGTACACTATTATAGTGTGGAACGCGCCGTTATAACGTGGAATGTGTACACCGTTATAGTGTGGAACACGCCGTTATAACGTGGAATGTGTCGTTATAACGTGGAATGTGTACACTGTTATAGTGTGGAATGTGCCGTTATAATGTGGAAAGCGCCGTTATAACGTGGAATGCGCCGTTATAACGTGGAATGTGTACACCGTTATAACGTGGAATGCGCCGTTATAACGTGTAATGTGTACACTGTTATAGTGTGGAACGCGCCGTTATAACGTGGAATGTGTACACTATTATAGTGTGGAATGTGCCGTTATAACGTGGAATGTGTACACCGTTATGGTGTGGAACGCGCCGTTATAACGTGTAATGTGCACACCGTTATAGTGTGGAACGCGCCGTTATAACGTAAAATGTGTACACTGTTATAGTGTGGAACGCGTCGTTATAACGTGGAATGTGCACACCGTTATAGTGTGGAACGCGTCATTATAACGTGGAATGTGTACACTGTTATAGTGTGGAACGCGTCATTATAACGTGGAATGTGCACACCGTTATAGTGTGGAACGCGTCGTTATAACGTGGAATGTGTACACCGTTATAACGTGGAATGTGTACACCGTTATAACGTGTAATGTGTACACCGTTATAGTGTGGAACGCGTCATTATAACGTGGAATGTGTACACTGTTATAGTGTGGAATGCGCCGTTATAACGTGTAATGTGTACACCGTTATAGTGTGGAACGCGTCATTATAACGTGGAATGTGTACACTGTTATAGTGTGGAACGCGTCATTATAACGTGGAATGTGCACACTGTTATAGTGTGGAACGCGTCATTATAACGTGGAATGTGTACACCGTTATAGTGTGGAACGTGCCGTTATAACGTGTAATCTCCAGATAAGGCCCACTGCGATATGTAGATTTTCTTCACGTGACCGGGCTACAAATGACAACCGAACAAAGTGGCTTACTGAGTGGAAAGGTAAAGCTGCCAAGTACTCCGACCGCGTGTTGATTCTAAACGTGGAGGCAAAACGGACCGGGAGAAAAATCCATACGACCACAGCGAGAGACTCGCAAACTCCAAATGAACATCAGACGTCAGGGTTGGCATAGTAGGTCGAGGCAGTTGACATCTCATTACCACCGTGGTGGATTCCGGCTTTTCTGTGGCTCAACAGACGACTGTTGCTCAAACTAGTGGGACCTTCATCAGGCAATGAACTTGGCTTGATTTAAAAATAAATAAATTTCGATTTAAAGCTTTCGTGACTGCAAGGATTCATCTTCTTTGGTTCTTTCGGTAAAGTCAGCACCACGTGGAATGAGAATAACATAATGAATTGATAAAATAAAATAACAACGTCGTGAGAATTTTATCGCGTTATATTGTTTGATCAATTTATTATTTTATTCTCATTCTACGTGGTGACTTTCCCGAAAGAAGGTTAAAAAATAAATATATATAAAGTAGCCCTTCGGCTAACGCTTTGTCCCGCTCCACAAAAAAAACTACTGTTTACTAAAATAACTGTTAACCGAATTCACTTGAGTTGAAAAAGACATTTTAAAAACAAAATCACCGAGTCTGCTACCGGAGCTGTTTCCACTTCCAGGACAGAAAAACGTTACAATGCGAACAAAGCCAGTCCGAGGTCTCACCGCTCACCGACGCACGTCGGTGATTGGCTGATGGCATGGCTCAGCCCACTTAAAAGAGTGCTCCGATTGGCCCGAAATCGGCGCCTGCATGCGTGACGTGAACGTGGCGTTGATCACGATGTTAGCCTTCAGTCGAAGCCACGAGGTCCTATGGGAGGCGAAACGTTGAGCGAAAAAGCATCAAGCGATGCCGCTGTTAACCTGAGGGGCCTGCCGTATACAGGCGGATCTCGTGTATAGCGCTCAAGATGCGTTCTTGGTTAACGGAGTTGCTCGAAGTGGTATGCCTGCAATTTCCAGCCAATAGAGGTCAGTCGTCACTGTCGCCATCACCGTGAGCCGTGTTTGTTTATGGCCTCTTATGTCAACGTTGCTGCCATTAACCCCCAAATACAACTCGGCACCATTGTGTTGGCTTTGGGAATTCTACGTCGCCGGGTTTTGCTGAAAAAAACTTATACGGAGGCGTGTGGGTTATCAAGATTTTTCCAGAGTAACACTCAATTGTTTCGATTTGAAATATGCTCGTACATGGCGTCTAATTGTAATATTAATAGAAGAGATCAATCATTCGGCGAGTGATATAAATAATCTTCGAATCAAATTCAATATATACAAAACTGCATATAGAGTGCATTATGCCTTACAAAGAGAGAATAGAGGTGCATCGATTTAGCATTCAGTATCCAGCAAAACCCTTGCCAATCGCCGGGGTTAGGTTCTTGGTAAAAAGCCGCAATCGGAAAATTCGCCTTCCCCAAACTCAGAAACAAATGTGGATAACGGGGTTCATACTCTGTGGTTCTATCGGGAACCAGAGAGTATAGATCCTTGCGGTCACGAGAGCTTTAAATCCAGAACAGATAACGGGGAAAATGGTTCACGGTTCCTTACTCACGACGGAGAGAAAAATGGCGGGCGGCTGTAACTCGCTGCCTGCTCACTCGAGGCCGGAAACACCACGTGACCCGGGACCCCCAATGGGCAGCTTGAGATAAGAGACTGGAGACAAGACAGAGACACCACGTGACCCGGGACCCCCAATGGGCAGCTTGAGATAAGAGACGGGAGACTGGAGACAAGATGGAGACAAGATGAAACACCACGTGACCCGGGACCCCCAATGGGCAGCTTGAGATAACAGACGGGAGACTGGAGACAAGATGAAACACCACGTGACCCGGGACCCCCAATGGGCAGCTTGAGATAACAGACGGGAGACTGGAGACAAGATGAAACACCACGTGACCCGGGACCCCCAATGGGCAGCTTGAGATAAGAGACGGGAGACTGGAGACAAGATGAAACACCACGTGACCCGGGACCCCCAATGGGCAGCTTGAGATAAGAGACTGGAGACAAGACAGAGACAACACGTGACCCGGGACCCCCAATGGGCAGCTTGAGATAAGAGACGGCAGACTGGAGACAAGACAGAGACACCACGTGACCCGGGACCCCCAATGGGCAGCTTGAGATAAGAGACGGGAGACTGGAGACAAGACAGAGACACCACGTGACCCGGGACCCCCAATGGGCAGCTTGAGATAAGAGACGGGAGACTGGAGACAAGATGAAACACCACGTGACCCGGGACCCCTAATGGGCAGCTTGAGATAAGAGATGGGAGACTGGAGACAAGATGGAGACAAGACAGAGACAAGATGGAGACAAGACAAGACAGAGACAAGACAGAGACAAGACAGAGACAAGGCACCGCGCCTTCTTCCGCAGCAGCAGCAGCAGCATCATCAGGATCGAGATTGGTGCAGTTACTGCGCGTACACAAATCTCGCCATCAAGCGCGAATGGTCCAGCCACAGGTGCACGATCAGCGAGCTCTGCACCTCAACACATTTGGCATGAAACTGCAAAACCGTGATAGCTGAACCCGCGAGAGGGAAGACTGTGCTCTACTCTGATGTAAAAATTACCCCCCACCCCCAAAAAAAAATGTTTCACAGTATATAATTCACCTATCGGCGTCGATTGTATTTATTACGTTGTATCTTATAGCTGCTTTATGTTAGATATTTATTCAAAATTTTTACGTACTTTAGCCCCTTAGTGTTAGTTAGATTTTGTACCTTTAATATCATTAGACATGTATACCACTTATTTAGGATTCCTATATGTTTAATGTATGCACCTTCCTGCCAAAGAAAATTCCTTGTCTACGCGAACTTTACCGGCGGATAAAAACCCTTTCCGATTCTGATATCACGGGGCCGAGGAATCAACTCGTCAATATTCTTCCTGCAGTAAAAAAAATTAATAAACCAACTCCAGCAACAGCACCCGGAGCGGCAAAGACTCCGAGGACGATACCAGCTGCGGGCGATGGAGCTGGACGTGAAGCTGGGCTTGGGTCTTGCGTCTGTCGGTCCTAGCAAAAACACAAACGCGGACGACACGGCAACACGTGAACACCCACGAGATGCAGACAGCCGACGTCTTCCTCCTCTGCCCGCCATGTCCCGCTCCTCTCGCGCGGCCTCTGCCGTCCACCTCCCCCTGCTCCGCTCGTCGCTGCCCCGGGCCACCTCCGCGTCGACTCCCCGGTCCCTCGAGTCCTGCCGCGTCCGCCGCCACTTCTCCTCCCCTCGCCCTCTCGGCCTGCCCCTCTGTCTCTGCCCTGGTGCCTCCACGTCCATCGCCCTCGCGGTTGACCGCCTCCACCGCCTCCGCCGCCTCCGCCGCCTCCTCCTCTACTACGGCAGCCCCAGGCCGTGTGAGCCGGCTCCGTCTCTCCCGCTCGGAGGGACATGAGCACCGCCGCTCCCGCCCCCGTCCCCAAGCTCTTCAGTTGTGACCCATCGAGTCCTGCGATCGCCGTGAGCCTCGCGAGGTCGATGTGGCCAGCATCACGACCGGCCGCCTTTGTCTCAGCGCTGCTGGCGTTTACGCAACGCTGCCAAAGTTAGGGAATTGAACCCAGGTCACTGGCTCTCAGCGCAGGGCACACGCACGCACACACGCACACACACAGGAAGAATGACCCTGGCGAGAGTGGATCCTGCCTCGTGCCTCTCTCGCTCTCACCTCATCTTATCCAGCTGGGTTCATTGGCTGCATTTCTTGAGGCCTGTTGAGAGAGAAGTGGACACGCGTCGATCACACACCACGGCTGGGAGTCTAGCCCACGACTCACACATGCCTGGCACCCGCATGGAACGACTGATCATAGCAATCACTGACCATGATGTGAAAGACATCCTTGATTTAACCACGCGAGAGCTCGTTGTGAAAATTTTCTCTAGCGATGTGTTTTACTTAGCCACGCGAGAGCTCATTGTGAACATTTTCTCTAGCGATGAGTTTTACTTAACCACGTGAGAGCCCATTGTAAACATTTTCTCTAGCGATGAGTTTGATTTAACCACGCGAGAGCTCATTGTGACCATTTTCTCTAGCGATGAGTTTGATTTAACCACGTGAGAGCCCATTGTGAACATTTTCTCTCGCGATGAGTTTGATTTAACCACGCGAGAGCCCATTGTGAACATTTTCTCTAGCGATGAGTTTTACTTAACCACGTGAGAGCCCATTGTAAACATTTTCTCTTGCGATGAGTTTGATTTAACCACGCGAGAGCCCATTGTGAACATTTTCTCTAGCGATGAGTTTGATTTAACCACGCGAGAGCCCATTGTGACCATTTTCTCTAGCGATGAGTTTGATTTAACCACGCGAGAGCTCATTGTGAACATTTTCTCTAGCGATGTGTTTGATTTAACCACGTGAGAGCCCGTTGTAAACATTTTCTCTAGCGATGTGTTTGATTTAACCACGCGAGAGCCCATTGTGAACATTTTATCTAGCGATGAGTTTTACTTAACCACGCGAGAGCCCATTGTGAACATTTTCTCTAGCGATGAGTTTGATTTAACCACGCGAGAGCCCATTGTGAACATTTTATCTAGCGATGAGTTTGATTTAACCACGCGAGAGCCCATTGTGAACATTTTCTCTAGCGATGAGTTTGATTTAACCACGCGAGAGCCCATTGTGAACATTTTCTCTAGCGATGAGTTTGATTTAACCACGTGAGAGCCCGTTGTGAAAATTTTCTCTAGCGATGTGTTTTACTTAGCCACGCGAGAGCTCATTGTGAACATTTTCTCTAGCGATGAGTTTTACTTAACCACGTGAGAGCCCATTGTAAACATTTTCTCTAGCGATGAGTTTGATTTAACCACGCGAGAGCCCATTGTGAACATTTTCTCTAGCGATGAGTTTGATTTAACCACGCGAGAGCTCATTGTGAACATTTTCTCTAGCGATGAGTTTGATTTAACCACGCGAGAGCCCATCGTGAACATTTTCTCTTGCGACGTGTTTGATTTAGCCACGCGAGAGCTCATTGTGAACATTTTCTCTAGCGATGTGTTTGATTTAACCACGCGAGAGCCCATTGTGAACATTTTCTCTAGCGATGAGTTTGATTTAACCACGCGAGAGCCCATTGTGAACATTTTCTCTAGCGATGAGTTTGATTTAACCACGCGAGAGCCAATTGTGAACATTTTCTCTTGCGATGAGTTTGATTTAACCACGTGAGAGCCCTTTGTGAACATTTTCTCTAGCGATGAGTTTGATTTAACCACGTGAGAGCCCTTTGTGAACATTTTCTCTAGCGATGAGTTTGATTTAGCCACGCGAGAGCCCATTGTGAACATTTTCTCTAGCGATGAGTTTGATTTAACCACGTGAGAGCCCTTTGTGAACATTTTCTCTAGCGATGAGTTTGATTTAACCACGCGAGAGCTCATTGTGAACATTTTCTCTAGCGATGAGTTTTACTTAACCACGTGAGAGCTCATTGTGAACATTTTCTCTAGCGATGTGTTTGATTTAACCACGTGAGAGCCCATTGTGAACATTTTCTCTAGCGATGAGTTTGATTTAGCCACGCGAGAGCCCATTGTGAACATTTTCTCTAGCGATGAGTTTGATTTAACCACGTGAGAGCTCGTTGTGAACATTTTCTCTAGCGATGAGTTTGATTTAACCACGTGAGAGCCCATTGTGAACATTTTCTCTAGCGATGAGTTTGATTTAACCACGCGAGAGCTCATTGTGAACATTTTCTCTAGCGATGAGTTTGATTTAGCCACGCGAGAGCTCGTTGTGAACATTTTCTCTAGCGATGAGTTTGATTTAACCACGCGAGAGCCCTTTGTGAACATTTTCTCTAGCGATGAGTTTCATTTAACCTCGCGAGAGCCCATTGTGAACATTTTCTCTAGCGATGAGTTTGATTTAACCACGTGAGAGCCCATTGTGAACATTTGTTTCTTGCGATGAGTTTGATTTAACCACGGGAGAGCCCATTGTGACCATTTTCTCTAGCGATGTGTTTGATTTAACCACGCGAGAGCTCATTGTGAACATTTTCTCTAGCGATGAGTTTGATTTAGCCACGCGAGAGCCCATTGTGAACATTTTCTCTAGCGATGAGTTTGATTTAGCCACGCGAGAGCCCATTGTGAACATTTGTTTCTTGCGATGAGTTTGATTTAACCACGCGAGAGCTCATTGTGAACATTTTCTCTTGCGATGTGTTTGATTTAACCACGCGAGAGCTCATTGTGAACATTTTCTCTAGCGATGAGTTTGATTTAGCCACGCGAGAGCTCATTGTGAACATTTTCTCTAGCGATGAGTTTGATTTAACCACGCGAGAGCTCATTGTGAACATTTTCTCTAGCGATGAGTTTGATTTAGCCACGCGAGAGCCCATTGTGAACATTTTCTCTAGCGATGAGTTTGATTTAGCCACGCGAGAGCCCATTGTGAACATTTTCTCTTGTGATGTGTTTGATTTAAGCACGCGAGAGCTCATTGTGAACATTTTCTCTAGCGATGAGTTTTACTTAGCCAGGCGAGAGCCCATTGTAAACATTTTGTCTTGCGATGAGTTTGATTTAACCACGCGAGAGCCCATTGTGAACATTTTCTCTAGCGATGAGTTTGATTTAACCACGCGAGAGCCCATTGGGTTCACCATCTCCGATGACTGACGCAGTCTCACATCACCACCCCCACTCATATGGAGCCCCTGTCACTGACAGCAGCCACGGCTGGGAGTCTAACTCAGGGGTCCCAGCTGCCAGGAGCTCAGGCAGGACTCCACTGAGCACAGCTCTGAGTCACGGGCAGGCAGGGAGCTGGAGTCAAACTCAGCACCTTTGAGAGGGCCGGCTCAGGGTCTCTGGCGTGGCTAAATGTGAGCCGTGTTCTATCACTCACTGTGAGGTTCTGGTGCAAGTGCGGTCGATACTCACGGGACTTGTGACTGAACTGGCCTCATCATCCTCCTCCTGCAGTAAAACACAACTCCAGCAGCAGCAACCAGAGCAGCAATGGCTCCAAGGGCGATCCAAACTACAGGTAGCGGAGGTGGAGGTGGAGCTGAGGTCGGAGCTGAAGCTGGGCTTGGCGTGGGAGTTGCGTCTGTCGGTTCAATTAAACACAAACGCGGACGACACGGCAACACGTGAACACGCACGAGATGCAGACAGTCAACGTCTTCCTCCTCTGCCCGCCATGTCCCGCTCCTCTCGCGCGGCCTCTGCCGTCCACCTCCCCCTGCTCCGCTCGTCGCTGCCCCGGGCCACCTCCGCGTCGACTCCCCGGTCCCTCGAGTCCTGCCGCGTCCGCCGCCACTTCTCCTCCCCTCGCCCTCTCGGCCTGCCCCTCTGTCTCTGCCCTGGTGCCTCCACGTCCATCGCCCTCGCGGTTGACCGCCTCCACCGCCTCCGCCGCCTCCGCCGCCTCCTCCTCTACTACGGCAGCCCCAAGCCGTGTGAGCCGGCTCCGTCTCTCCCGCTCGGAGGGACATGAGCACCGCCGCTCCCGCCTCCTTCCCCAAGCTCTTCAGTTCTGACCCATCGAGTCCTGCGACCCACTGAGATTCTTCACGCCATCGTCGTTACTGTGCTCCACGATGTTTCCGCTCCTGCCGCTGGTTTGCAGGAGGAGCGGACGCGCTGTGGCTTTGTCGAACGCGCGTTCTGGCTCTACGCGGTGCACCTAATGAGGCCTGTTTCCCGGATCACAGGGGCGGTGTTTCAGGTGAAAGCTGCAAAGACTCTCATCTCCTCGTCGACAAATATTTCCGTGGGGGTTCTGCATCCACTGGAAGGTGTGAATGAACCGACTGTACGAACGATTCAATTACCGTGCATGTTTTTTTGTTTTGTTTTGGGTGTGTAAAAAGTAACACACTCAACATGTGCAGCGGTGCAATGGGAATGTTCGCAGTGCCGCGAGAATCTCGCCGCCAAGTCATTGGGGACTTCAGATGGCCGCCGAGATTCGCTGAATCGGCGACAGAGTCGGGGGCGAGCGTCAGGCTGGGAAATCATTGCTTCTATTGGGTAAAGTCACAGGTATTTTCACCTGCGTGACTTTACCCAATAGAACCAAAGAGTATGGATCCTAGCAGCCACGAAAGCTTTAGATCTAGAATTGGGACATCATTGCTAGGGGAGAGCATTGGACGCGAGTTCTGTGGTGCGGGAATGACACGGGGGTCACATGTTAAGGAGCGTACACGCGCAAGAAACGGGGAGTGAGTCAGCGTCCTTCAGAACAATAACAAGGGCGGAAATCTTGTTAGAGTTAGTAACACAGAGGGAGGGGTGATCGTTCCGGGCCCAGAAAGGCAACCCTAGTTTCCCCAAAGTATCTATTTTTTTTAAGAACACGGTTTTTCCTAACGCCTCGTTTTCCAGGAACACAACCCCCAGCGTCCGGCGAGGCCTGCCTGTGAATGTTAAATCGTGACCGTGCTATAATACCGAGCCTAGATGGAGGCCATTGTTCATGATTCTCTTGCGGCTGTGTTCACCCGGCGAGGTGTTCACCCTCAACGCACGGTTGCTGAGCATCGTGTTCATTAGGTGAACGATAGAACAGCTTTTGATGATTTCTGGCCAACTTCGGCAGCTGCAGTCAACAACACCAAATGGTGTCATGGACAGCCAGCAGGAGAGGTCAATCATCACAGTGCTGGTTTGCTGTTGATGCCGTAAATTGGCTTGCAGCTTGTGGTGAATCCCAATCAGAAGCTTGTTTGCTGAGTAAAGCCTTTTGAGCTAAAAAAAAAAGCTCTCTTTCGACATCAAAGCATTCCACATTCCACAAGAGGCCAACAATCTCATGGAACACAAGGAGAGGCAGGAACTTACGCTGTCATTGGCTCATGTAGACAACTCAGCAAATAGTCGAGTTTCTTATACTACAGGATGCGATGTCTGTGAAGAAACAGGTCCCTGCAGGGTGGGCTGGTAGGAACATTTTTACACCCCAACAGCACGAGATTGAACTTCGTTAAAGTATTGAAAGGGGACGGACGGACGGACGGATGGACACATTGATCTATTGCAGTGCTGGTACACTCAGTTTACAACTTCGTTACTACCAGTATAACAAAGACCCTTTATGCCCGTGCCACAGAGTGAATTTTAGTGGTAAATATGGACAATAAAAAGAATTCGCATTCTCGCTATGCGAAAATGATAAAATCGGTGGGTGTTAAATAGATCCAGGGAGGACATACTGTAAGGCAAACCTGGTTCATTGTGAACGTTCAGCTGCAGATACCCAATGTCTTGCTTGCTTGGCTTCTCGTATCGATACACCGTCACCTCGCAGCGATATCGCCCAGCGTCGTGGGTCTGGATGTTGCTGATGGTGATGGAGGCATTACACGTGGACTCATCACCCACCCACGTGACCTGCAATGGCCTGAGGCTTCTCTTTCTGTAGTACGCCTTGTACACCTTGATGGGAAACGTGAGAACACGACAGGGCATGGCTGTGTGTCCACACAATACACGTGCTCATGTTCTGAAAGCCGACATAATACGTAAATAACATTGAATTAAAGCAGGTAAACGTATAATAAGCCTACATTTTAGGAAACGACTCTTCTTTGGAGTAGAGAGAACAGAGATCATTTGAGATTACTGTAGCAGAAGATACAATACTATACTGGTACTCTTTGGTTCTATTGGGTAAAGTCACGTAGGTGAAAATAAAATAACAAAAAATCACGACGTTTCGGCCACAACACAAGCGGCCTTCATCAGGTGAAGGGACGAGACTGTCTGGAGGACAGCGCTGGAGTGGAAGAAGCCACGCTTAGACAATACAACCCAGAAAAGGAGAGGGGATGGCCTCCATTGAAATAAATTAGCATGAACGGGCGTTAATAAAGAACATTTACTCATCATTTTGATTTAAAGCTTTCGTGACTGCAGTAATTCATATTCTTAGTTTTTTTCGGTAAAGTCACGTTGAAGAAATGCGATTGGTATTACCCCAGAGTCGCGGCATCTCTTCAGGAAGGTGAGAGACTCGATCAGCTGAGCTTTCTTATCCCGGAGTTTGTTGAAGGATCTTAAAGTTATGTGAAAACCCTCCCCGTAGAGGCGATTAAATTTTGATTTAAAGCTTTCGTGACTGCAGTAATTCATATTCTTAGTTTTTTCGGTAAAGTCACGTGACTTTACCGAAAAAACTAAGAACATTTACTCATCATGTTTAAGCAGGAGTGTGTGAGTAATAGTGTGCACGTGTGACAGTGACGCACCTTCTCATCACGTCCGTCTATGGTCCTGAACCACTCCACCAGCGTGTGTCTAATACCCGTGATGTTGCAGGTGTAGGAGCAGGACAGGAGAGCCGTGCTGCCTACTGTGGCATCCTTTGCATCCGGGATGACAACGGCCAGGTCTGTGGACAAGCCCACGATGGTCACGTGAGCAGTGGGAATGAACCTCTGGAGGATGAGGAGGTGGTGGTGGTGGTGCTGGTGCTGGTGCTGGGCTCACAACGCAGCGGTGACAATTGGGGCCAGAGAAAGCGGGCAAAGACTCTCCGTTAGACGAAGCAAAAACCGAAGAAGATGAATCCTTGCAGTCACGGAAGCTTTAAATCGAAACATCTCTTTAGGTCTCTAGCAGAGCAGTACAATGCTGCATGTTAGAGAACGGTCCACAGAACGGGGACTCTTAGAGCTACCTCTGAGCTCCCTTCACGTGGAGCCGAGGCAGTGAGATGTTAACTACCTCGCCCGGTATACAGGGGGTCGTGGGTTCGAGCCCGACCCTGACGCCTGCTGTATGTTTTGTAGTTTGTGTGTTTACACTCCCCGTGGTCGCGTTTAGAGTATTTGGCTGCTATACATTTCGGTATGATAAGCCACTTCCTTGAGCTATCTTTCGCCGCTTCTGAAAAATAGCCACATGGCTCAGTGGGCGTTACCAGGTAAAAAATAAAAAAAACATTTATAGCTTTTGGGAGTTAGATCATGTAACCAGTTAATCAGGATGCACAACACATACAGGCAAACCTGCCCCAATGCGGTTTTGTAAAATGCTGTGGGTCGGTTTCCGGAACACGGGGGGGGGGCGATGGTTCGGCTACGCGTGGTTTAACACGAGGATTGTCATCTTCGTTCGTGTCAAAGGGTGCCAAAGGCGTGAACGCATCTGTAGCGGAGTTTTGAAAACGGTGAGCCGCGGACAGCCAAGTAGCGTCAGGGCACCCCAGGTTGCCGTGAGATGGTAATCCACAGAGAGAGAGAGAGACGATTAGAATGCGTAGCGGTGACTTGGCTGGCTGCAAATGCAGACGCGGTTCAGTATCAGTTTTTCAGTTAATTTTGGTAGAGCCCTGTGAGCCATTCGGCTCTTGAATCGGAGTGCAACCGCAAACAAACGAAAACACGAACAATAAAAACGTCTTAAAGTGACTACTCTGTGTGACTTTGTGCAAAACAGGAAATCCATGGAAAAAAAAAACCAGCAAAAATATTCCTGAAAAAAGCACCGTACACCAACGCTGTGTGCAACAAATCCCAGTGGGATGCAAGTCAAACAACAACAACAACCACAAGACAACTTAGATTAAGGCCATCAGTCTAACTCAGTACTACAACAACAACAAGACAACTTAGATTAAGGCCGTCAGTCTAACTCCGTACTACAACAACCACCACAAGACAACTAAGATTAAGGCCATCAGTCTAACTCAGTACTACAACAACAACCACCACAAGACAACTTAGATTAAGGCCATCAGTTTAACTCAGTACTACAACAAAACAAATATGTCCAAACCAAAAAGCTTTTCCAAATCACCAAAGAATAAAGCCATCATTGCAACGTAACAGTGATCACAGGGAATGTGACCGAATTTTTACAATAAACTACATCGTACTTGGCGACTTTAACAAAGGTAATCTCAGCCACGAACTCCCCAAATACATACAATTCATTAAATGCCCAACCAGAGAAGGGAACACTCTGGATCACTGCTACACTACAGTCAGTAGAGCCTACCACGCCGTCCCCCGAGCAGCACTAGGACACTCTGACCATGCCATGGTCCACCTGATTCCTGCATACAGGCAGAAACTAAAACTCTGTAAACCTGCTGTGAGGACATCTAAACAGTGGACCAGTGAGGCTGTGGAAGATTTGCGGGCGTGCTTAGACTGTACTGACTGGGATATGTTCACGACTGCTACCAATAGTCTGGATGAACTCACAGAGGCTGTGACGTCCTACATCAGCTTCTGTGAGGACTGCTGTATCCCAACACGTACCAGGGTGAACTTTAACAACAATAAGCCCTGGTTCTCAGCAAAGCTCAGAAGGTTGAGGTTGGAGAAGGAGGAAGCGTTTAGGAGTGGAGATAGAGACAGATTCAAGGAGTCGAAGAACAGGTTTAGCAAAGCGGTGAGAGAGGCTAAACGACTGTACTCAGAGAGACTAAAACACCAGTTCTCTACAAACGACGCTGCTTCTGTCTGGAGAGGGCTCAGGCAGATCACCAACTACAAACCCAGAGCCCCCCACACCACTAACGATTCCCGCCTAGCCAACGACCTGAACGAGTTCTACTGTAGATTTGAAAGACAATTGGACTGTCCTGAACCACCCCTTCCAACCCAAGAGGCCCCGTCCCCCACCAATACTACAGAGACGACTATCTCCTTTCAGGAGGGAGAAGTTAATAGACTTTTCAAGAGGCAGAATCCACGCAAAGCAGCCGGGCCGGACTCTGTCTCTCCAGCCACCCTCAGACACTGCGCTGACCAGCTGTCTCCGGTGTTCACCAACATCTTTAACACCTCCCTGGAGACATGCCATGTACCAACCTGTCTCAAGTCCTCCACCATCATCCCTGTGCCCAAAAAGCTAAGACCAACAGGACTAAATGATTACAGACCGGTCGCCCTTACATCTGTGGTAATGAAGTCTTTTGAGCGCCTGGTCCTGGCACACCTCAAAGCCATCACAGACCCTCTCCTGGACCCCCTTCAATTTGCCTACAGAGCCAACAGGTCTGTGGAGGATGCAGTTAACATGGCCCTCCACTTCACCCTACAGCATCTGGACGCCCCAGCATCCTACGCCAGGATCCTGTTTGTGGACTTCAGCTCTGCCTTCAACACCATCATCCCTGCCCTGCTTCAGGACAAGCTCTTCCAGCTGAACGTGCCATACACCACCTGTAAATGGATCACAGACTTCCTGTCTGACAGGAAGCAGTGCGTTAAGCTGGGAACACAAGTTTCTGGCTCCAGGTCCATCAGCACCGGAACTCCTCAGGGCTGCGTCCTTTCCCCTCTGCTCTTCTCCCTGTATACCAACAGCTGCACCTCCAATCATCTGTCCGTCAAACTATTGAAGTTTGCGGATGACACCACCCTCATTGGGCTGATCTCTGGTGGGGATGAGTCTGACTATAGGTGGGAAGCTGACAATCTGGTGACCTGGTGTAGCCAGAACAACTTAGAGCTAAATGCTCTAAATACAGTTGAGATGGTTGTGGACTTCAGGAAGAATACAGCACCACTCACCCCCATCACCCTGTTAGACTCCCCAGTAAAAATTGTAGAGTCCTTCCGCTTCCTGGGCACTATTCTCTCCCGGGACCTCAAGTGGGAATTGAACATCAGCTCCCTCACCAAGAAAGCTCAACAGAGGATGTACTTTCTACGGCAGCTGAAGAAATTCAACCTGCCAAAGACAATGATGGTGCAATTCTATACAGCGATCATTGAATCCATCCTCACCTCCTCCATAACCGTCTGGTACGCTGCTGCCACTGCCAAGGACAAGAGCAGACTGCAGCGTATCATCCACACTGCTGAGAAGGTAATTGCCTGCAATCTACCGACCCTCGAGGACCTGCACACGACAAGGACCATGAGGCGAGCGAGGAAGATTATGGCCGATTTCTCCCACCCTGGACACTCTCTGTTTCAGCTACTCCCCTCCGGCAGAAGGCTTCGGTCCATCAGGAACAAAACCTCACGCCATAAAAACAGTTTCTTCCCATCTGCTGCTGGCCTGTTAAACAAGGCCAAGGGCTAACACTGTTTTTAACATTTGATCTACATAACGACACGTTGCTGATATTAACTATGTTTCCCTATTTGTATTTTTAAATTATATCTTAAAGCTATTTTATATTCGATATTTATTTAATTTTATATACTTCAGCCCCTTAGTGTTACACTTTTAACCCTTATTATAGTAAGACTTGTTTAAAACTTATTTAAGATTTTAGATTCCTATATGTTGAATGTATGCACCATCCTGCCAAAGTAAATTCCGTGTCGGTGTGAACTTACATGGCGAATAAAACCCTTTCTGATTCTGATTCTGATAAATAACATGTAACACCAAATCCTAGAGCCATAGCTGGCTGCATGAGTTACTCCACAACAACAGAAGCATCGGTCGGAGTATCAAATTCTTCAATGCACCTTGAAGATCAGCACGCTAAATCAAAATACAGATGATACTTTGCAGCGTCATCCGGAGCGAAACATTTTATTTTATTTTACGCCAATGAGTAGCAGTGGCAGCTAGGGGTGTACAACTCCTCTAGAGCAGTTTTGAGAGAAGATCTCATTGGTAGCGATGTAGGCTTGCGGTGTGGGCTCCTCGGAGTCTGCGGATCGAGGCGATAGCAGCGGACGCCACGTGCTAGAGGAGACGGGCGGAGGCCAGCTTAATACTGGTAGTAACGAAGTTGTAAACTGAGTGTACCAGCCTGCAATAGATTAATGTGTCCGTCCGTCCCCTTTCAATACTTTAACGAAGTGAAATCTCGTGTGACTGTTGTGGTATAAAATCAGCAATAGACAGCGCAGAGACTTGTCCTACCAGCCCACCCTGCAGGGACATGTTAACTTGACACGTGTTTTGGTTATACTGGTAGGAACGAAGTTGTAAAGTGAGTGTACCAGCCTGCAATAGATTAATGTGTCCGTCCGTCCGTCCCCTTTCAATACTTTGACGAAGTGAAATCTCGTGTGAGTGTCATCCTTTATTTAACCACGCGAGTGACGTCATTGAGAGTCACTCTCTTGTCAGTGCCATCCTTTATTTAACCACGTGATTGACGTCATTGAGAGTCACTCTCTTGTCACTGGCACCATTTATTTAACCACGTGAGTGACGTCATTGAGAGTCACTCTCTTGTCACTGACATCCTTTATTTAACCACGTGAGTGACGTCATTGAGAGTCACTCTCTTGTCACTGACATCCTTTATACTGGTAGTAACGAAGTTGTAAACTGAGTGTACCAGCCTGCAATAGATTAATGTGTCCGTCCGTCCGTCCCCTTTCAATACTTTGACGAAGTGAAATCTCGTGTGAGTGTCATCATTTATTTAACCACGCGAGTGATGTCATTGAGAGTCACTCTCTTGTCAGTGTCATCCTTTATTTAACCACGTGATTGACGTCATTGAGAGTCACTCTCTTGTGGCTGTCATCCTTTATTTAACCACGTGAGTGACGTCATTGAGAGTCACTCTCTTGTCACTGACATCCTTTATACTGGTAGTAACGAAGTTGTAAACTGAGTGTACCAGCCTGCAATAGATTAATGTGTCCGTCCGTCCGTCCCCTTTCAATACTTTGACGAAGTGAAATCTCGTGTGAGTGTCATCATTTATTTAACCACGCGAGTGACGTCATTGAGAGTCACTCTCTTGTCAGTGTCATCCTTTATTTAACCACGTGATTGACGTCATTGAGAGTCACTCTCTTGTGGCTGTCATCCTTTATTTAACCACGTGAGTGACGTCATTGAGAGTCACTCTCTTGTCACCAACATCCTTTATTTAACCACGTGAGTGACGTCATTGAGAGTCACTCTCTTGTCAGTGTCATCCTTTATTTAACCACGTGATTGACGTCATTGAGAGTCACTCTCTTGTCACCGACATCCTTTATTTAACCACGTGAGTGACGTAATTGAGAGTCACTCTCTTGTCACTGACATCCTTTATTTAACCACGTGAGTGGCGTCATTGAGAGTCACTCTCTTGTCACCAACATCCTTTATTTAACTACGTGAGTGACGTCATTGAGAGTCACTCTCTTGTCACTGACATCCTTTATTTAACCACGTGAGTGACGTCATTGAGAATCACTCTCTTGTCACTGACATCTTTTATTTAACCACGTGAGTGACGTCATTGAAGTCACTCTCTTGTCACTGACATCCTTTATTTAACCACGTGAGTGGCGTCATTGAGAGTCACTCTCTTGTCACCAACATCCTTTATTTAACCACGTGAGTGACGTCATTGAGAGTCACTCTCTTGTCAGTGTCATCCTTTATTTAACCACGTGATTGACGTCATTGAGAGTCACTCTCTTGTCACCGACATCCTTTATTTAACCACGTGAGTGACGTAATTGAGAGTCACTCTCTTGTCGCTGACATCCTTTATTTAACCACGTGAGTGACGTCATTGAGAACCACTCTCTTGTCACCGACATCCTTTATTTAACCACGTGAGTGACGTCATTGAGAGTCACTCTCTTGTCACTGACATCCTTTATACTGGTAGTAACGAAGTTGTAAACTGAGTGTACCAGCCTACAATAGATTAATGTGTCCGTCCGTCCGTCCCCTTTCAATACTTTAACGGAGTGAAAAATTCCAATGTTCCTACCAGCCCACCCTGCAGGGACCTGTTTATGGCGTTTCATGAGGAGCAGGATAAATACGGAACGTGCGAGGCAGGGGGTGAGAGTTGGGTTGGAGCAAAGGAAGGAGCGAACACAAGACAGTCCAAGTTCCCGCTCGCCACACCTCGCCCTCTCCAGCGGTGAAGGCTGAACCCCCACTGGAGGCAAGGGCGAGGTTGGAGAGGCGAGGGTAGACAGGCTAGCAGTAGAGAAGCCAGCAGTAGAGAAGCCAGCAGTAGAGAAGCTAGCAGTAGAGAAGCTAACAGAATGTATAGTGAGAGGCTAGCAGTGGTAAGGCTAGGAGTGTATAGTAATAGGCTAGGAGAGTGTATAGTAATAGTCTAGCAGTAGAGAAGCGAGCAGAGTGTATAGTAATAGTCTAGCAGTAGAGAAGCGAGCAGAGTGTATAGTAATAGTCTATAGTAATAGTGTATAGTAATAGTGTATAGTAATAGTCTATAGTAATAGTCTATAGTAATAGTGTATAGTAATAGTGTATAGTAATAGTGTATAGTAATAGTCTATAGTAATAGTCTATAGTAATAGTCTATAGTAATAGTCTATAGTAATAGTGTATAGTAATAGTGTATAGTAGTAGTCTAGCAGTAGAGAAGCTAGCAGAGTGTATAGTAATAGTCTAGCAGTAGAGAAGCTAGCAGAGTGTATAGTAATAGTCTAGCAGTAGAGAAGCTAGCAGAGTGTATAGTAATAGTCTATAGTAATAGTGTATAGTAATAGTGTATAGTAATAGTGTATAGTAGTAGTCTAGCAGTCGAGAAGCTAGCAGAGTGTATAGTAATAGTCTAGCAGTAGAGAGGCTAGCAGAGTGTATAGTAATAGTCTATAGTAATAGTCTATAGTAATAGTGTATAGTAATAGTGTATAGTAGTAGTCTAGCAGTCGAGAAGCTAGCAGAGTGTATAGTAATAGTCTATAGTATATTTGCGCAGTATTGTTTTTATTCATTGAATTATTTCACCTGGACAATCCGTCGAGAAGGGACATCTGTTTTGCAAGGGTGACCAGGCTAAGGTGACAAACTCATGAGGCTTGACATCCGGATTGTTTGCTAATTGAACAATGAAAGTGAAGAGTCACAGGCAGGAGTTGAACCCAGGTGACCATGGTTCTAGATGCATGGTTCCGTCACACCGTAGGTAGCCAACCATGGGGGAAGGATAAGAAACCAAACCCGAAAGGCAAAACGTGAATTTGTCGGCTGGCTATTGAGTGTTAGGTCTGGGCTACATGACGGACGATGGGAGCCGTGGGTGGTAGGAGAGACCTATGAAGGCTCGTGATGCAAACCTGTTTGCGGGTGGATGTTCAGCTGAAGGTACCCAATGTCTTGGATGTTTTGTGGATACACCGTGACCTCACAGCGATATCGCCCAGAGTCGTTGGTGCGGATGCCGCTGACGGTGACGGAGGCGTCGCACGTGGACACATCGCCCACCCAGGTGGCCTGTAAAGGCCAGCGGCCGCTCTCTCCATCGGTGTATTGATAAATCTGTGGTGAAGCAAGGTGAAGGCAACACGCAGAGATCAAATGCGTCACATTATGCGGGTATCAAATTCGTTCAGATGAAACCCGAGAATTATTCTGTCTGCAGGGCTTGCGACCGGGCTGGATTAACTGTTGCCGAAGGGGGGGGCTTCACGTGGAGACGATTTTCAATTGGCTCGCCCATGCCTCCGCCCAGTCACGTGACGATGGGGCCCTCGATCTGGCAAGAAAATACCAAACCTGTTCATCTGCGTTGCATATTGTAAATGCTCAAGGGTCATGTGACCAGGTAAATGCTCACGGGTCATGTGACCAGGTTTACTAACGAGACTATCATTTATTATGGAGACTATCATTCCACGCTTGCTCTTGCTGCGATTGATCGGCAAATGGCGCACAGAACGGACAGAGGAGTAACTCACCCTCTGTTCACGCCCGTCTGTGGTCCTGAACCACTCCACCAGCTTGTGGCTAACGCCGCTGATTGTGCAGGTGTAGGAGCACAGCAGGATAAATGTAGTGCCCGCCATGGCGTTCATTTTATCTGGGGTCACAACCACGAGTTCTAGGAAAAGCACGCACAACGCCCACATTAGTATATGTTGTTGTTCTTAGATAATGTAAATGTCTAAACTCGAAACGTTTGTCGGTAACAATGCGTTTTAAAGGTACAGAACAGGCAGACCTCGACCAACGCGAGGGGTTACGTTCCTGGAAGATGAACTGAAACTGAACTGAGCTTCGATCAGGGGTGCCTCAAACCAACCGGAGGAAATTCCACGTTCCTATGACAGAGGCGGGTTTTTCGAAACTGCAAGCGATACCGTGCAGTGTATACGCTTGAAAGGGTACGTTAGCAGAGTTTGGGCACAACTTTTTTCGACAAACAACAACAGACCTCATGGGAAAACTCGTGTTGCCTTCCTGCATTCGAAATGATCACCCTCTTTGTTTAACTAAAACGACAAGATGCCCGCACTCGTCATTGTAATAACGAATGCCGAGTCGTTCGCATGTCTTGCGTGCGGACTTTGTCAATTTCAATGCAACACAAAACCTCCGTTTCCATTCTTCCCGCACCACGGCACTCACACGCCACTAAAACTGTCACGTGAACATTAATGATCCGCCATCTATTTTATGAGACCTCCTTTGCCAGTAACAAGATATTGGAATAGTTTTTAAACCCTTTTAACTGGCACAAAAAAAACTGACACCTTTATTCAAGGCATCGTGTTTGCAATAACCACAACACACGCAGTCAAAATGCAAACAAACAGGTCCCTGCAGGGTGGGCTGGTAGGAACATTGGAATTTTGCGCAATTTGATTACACCCAACAGCACGAGATTTCACTTCGTTAAAGTGTTGAAAGGGGACGGACGGACGGACACATTAATCTATTGCAGGCTGGTACACTCAGTTTACAACTTCGTTACTACCAGTATAAAGGATGTCAGTGACAAGAGAGTGACTCTCAATGACGTCACTCACGTGGTTAAATAAAGGATGTCAGTGACAAGAGAGTGACTCTCAATGACATCACTCACGTGGTTAAATAAAGGATGACACTCACACGAGATTTCACTTCGTTAAAGTATTGAAAGGGGACGGACGGACGGACACATTAATCTATTGCAGGCTGGTACACTCAGTTTACAACTTCGTTACTACCAGTATAAAGGATGTCAGTGACAAGAGAGTGACTCTCAATGACGTCACTCACGTGGTTAAATAAAGGATGACACTGACAAGAGAGTGACTCTCAATGACGTCACTCACGTGGTTAAATAAAGGATGTCAGTGACAAGAGAGTGACTCTCAATGACGTCACTCACGTGGTTAAATAAAGGATGTCAGTGACAAGAGAGTGACTCTCAATGACATCACTCACGTGGTTAAATAAAGGATGACACTCACACGAGATTTCACTTCGTTAAAGTATTGAAAGGGGACGGACGGACGGACACATTAATCTATTGCAGGCTGGTACACTCACTTTACAACTTCGTTACTACCAGTATAAAGGATGTCAGTGACAAGAGAGTGACTCTCAATGACGTCACTCACGTGGTTAAATAAAGGATGTCAGTGACAAGAGAGTGACTCTCAATGACGTCACTCACGTGGTTAAATAAAGGATGTCAGTGACAAGAGAGTGACTCTCAATGACATCACTCACGTGGTTAAATAAATGATGACAGTCACAAGAGAGTGACTCTCAATGACGTCACTCACGTGGTTAAATAAAGGATGTCAGTGACAAGAGAGTGACTCTCAATGACATCACTCACGTGGTTAAATAAAGGATGACACTCACACGAGATTTCACTTCGTTAAAGTATTGAAAGGGGACGGACGGACGGACACATTAATCTATTGCAGGCTGGTACACTCACTTTACAACTTCGTTACTACCAGTATAAAGACAACTCTGATAATGATATTGGCACTGTCCTTGAATTTGATTGGTCCACACCCACACCCAATACACCAATGGAGACTGGGCTCTAAGAAAAGCCGTCTCGGGTGTGGACCAATCAAATTCAAGGACAGTGCCAATATCATCATCAGAGTTGTCTCTTTTTGTTGGCATTTTGATTGCTTGTGTTGTGGTTATCGCAAACACGATGCCTTGAATAAAGGTGTCAGTTTTTGTGCCAGTTAAAAGGGTAAAACCTATTCCTATATCCACCATCTAGTCATCCGTATGCCTGACGTTCTCAATAGCTAGATTCATGCGGTGATGTGTGGACATTTAACGCGGCGCTGCTGTGAAGTTTTGAGCGCATTACATTATCACGCGAAAAAAACACATACCCACTCGCGCATGCATACATACACGGTAAATACATCATTCTCACACTAAATTTACACATGCCAACGGACGCAGGACTCTCAAGGCACTACTTTTTAATGCAGCTGTAGTGGCCGACTTGACACGGACTACTTCCTAGTCCTCTCCGACACCACTTTTGTTAGAACTCTTCACATTACGTCCGTCCGTGACTTCGTCATTCCGCTCACCCGCAGCTCGCTCACTCCGCTTCCTCCCTTGTCCCTCACGGTCCATCTGCGTCGTCTCTCCCTGTCTGTGTCTCTCTCTGTCTCACGATGTCTCTGTCTCTCGCTGTATCTCTGTCTCTCTGTCTCACGCTGTATCTCTGTCTCTCGCTGTATCTCTCCCGCTGTCTGTATCTCTGTCTCTCTCCCGCTGTCTCTCTCACGCTGTATCTCTCTCTCTCCGTCACTCGATGTCTCTGTCTCTCACTGTATCTCTGTCTCTCTCTGTCTCTGTCTCACGCTGTATCTCTCTCTGTCTCACGCTGTGTCTCTGTCTCTGTCTCTCCTGCTGTCTCTGTCTCTCTCTGGCTCTGTCTCACGCTGTATCTCTCTCTGTCTCACGCTGTATCTCTGTCTCTGTCTCTCCTGCTGTCTCTGTCTCTCTCTGTATCTCTCTGTCTCTGTCTCACGCTGTATCTCTGTCTCTGTCTCTCTCTGTCTCTGTCTCACGCTGTATCTCTGTCTCTCTCCCGCTGTCTCTGTCTCTCTCTGTCTCTGTCTCTCTCTGTCTCTGTCTCTCTCTGTCTCTGTCTCACGCTGTATCTCTGTCTCTGTCTCTCCTGCTGTCTCTGTCTCTCTCTGTCTCTGTTTCACGCTATATCTGTCTCTGTCTCTCGTTATATCTCTGTCTCTCTCTGTCTCACGCTGTATCTCTGTCTCTCTCCCGCTGTCTCTGTCTCTCTCTGTCTCTGTCTCACGCTGTATCTCTGTCTCTCCTGCTGTCTCTGTCTCTCTCTGTCTCACGCTGTATCTCTCTCTGTCTCTGTCTCACGCTGTATCTGTCTCTGTCTCTCGTTATATCTCTGTCTGTCTCTGTCTCACGCTGTATCTCTCTCTGTCTCACGCTGTATCTCTGTCTCTCTCCCGCTGTCTCTGTCTCTCTCTGTCTCTGTCTCTCTCCCGCTGTCTCTGTCTCTCTCTGTTTCACGCTATATCTGTCTCTGTCTCTCGTTATATCTCTGTCTCTCTCTGTCTCTGTCTCACGCTGTATCTCTCTCTGTCTCTGTCTCACGCTGTATCTCTGTCTCTCCTGCTGTCTCTGTCTCTCTCTGTCTCTCTCTGTCTCTGTCTCTCGCTATATCTGTCTCTGTCTCTCGCTATATCTCTGTCTCTCTCTGTCTCTGTCTCACGCTGTATCTCTCTCTGTCTCACGCTGTATCTCTGTCTCTCTCCCGCTGTCTCTGTCTCTCTCTGTCTCTGTCTCTCTCCCGCTGTCTCGGTCTCTCGCTGCCTCTGTGTCCCACTCCGTCTCTGCCTGTCTCTGCTTGTCTCTGTCTCTCTCTGCTTGTCTCTGCTCTACTGCTAGCCTGTTCTGTCTCCGATGTCTTCACTCCGGTTCTTCGCGACCTGCTTCGTACCAGTCCCAGCGACAACTCCCCTCCTCGTTCTTCCCGTATCCCGAATATATCCCCGAATATATCCCCCTTCTCATTACCAACCAATCAGCTAGTTCATAGTTAGTTCATAGTTCATTTATTTGGTATAGCCCTGTGAGCCATTCGGCTCTTGAATCGGGTGCAACCGCAACAAACCAAAAATATGAACAAGGCAAACATCTTAAAGTGATTTTGTGTTGACTGTTCAAACAGAAAATACAGGAAAAAAATATCAAAATATTCCTGAAATAGCACCGTACCGTACCAACGCTGTGTGCAAAAATCCCAGTGGGATGCAAGTCAAATAACAACAACAACAACAACAACCACAAGACAACTAAGATTAAGGCCATCAGTCTAACTCCGTACTACAATAAACAAAAACATGGCCAAAACAAAAAAAAACTTTTCGAAATCACCAAGATAAAAGCCATAAATCCAATGTAACAGTGATCACAAGGACTGTGACCGAATTTTTCACAATAAACTACATAAATAAATTATAACACCAAAAATCTAGAGCCATAAATTTAGGCCACTGAATAGCAGTGGCAGCTAGGGTTGTACAACTCCTCTAGAGCAGTTTTGAGTGAAGATCTCATGGGTAGTGAGTGATTCAAGTTGCAGTTTATTGGCAATAGCATTCCAGACCCTGGGGGCATCAATAGCAAAGACCCTTCCTCCAGTTTTAGTACGGCAATAGGGAATGTGAAGCTGGTAAATGAGCGAAGACCTGAGGTCAAATTTGTTCTTTGAAACAGAGAGGAGATCCAGCAGCAGGTAAGTCTGCGGAATTTTGTTTGTAAGCACATCGTGAATCAATAAGATCTCGTGCACAAGCCGTCGAGCATTAAGAGATGTTAAGTCTGACCCAATGTAGAGATCACAGTGGTGAGTCCTGTATGGGCAGTTCAATGCAAATCTTAAGGCCGAGTGATGGATGGAATCAAGCTTCTTCAGTACAGTACTTGAGGGCCGCTTGCCCCCGACGCCCCGCCTGTTACTTGGCCCCCTCTATCCCCAGACATTCCGGCGCCACTCCGCCCTTGACAACAACCCCCTCCCCAGCCAATCACAGCCGTACATCGCTGTCCGGCTTAACGTGCCCGTCATTACCGCCCAGTTTCCCGCCCGCCACACCTGGCCAGCCCGACGTAGCCCCACTGTCCACAACTCGCGCGTCTTTACCATTCCCACCCCACCCACCCCCTGCATGCGCGTGTTAGTCCACTGCACGTATACGGAAATGTTAGCAGCGTCAAGCTGTATATCACCGAAGTACCAACCCCCCGTGTTATGGAAAACAAACCTCATCAGCCACAACCGTCTAGAGAAGAAAAAACGTGCGTCAGATGAAGCCGCGTTGGGCAAGGGTTTCGTCTATATATATTTTACCAAATTGTATTCCCGTGTCTCGTCGTTAATAAAAAAAAAACATTAATTGGGATTTCTCACAGAGTAGTAGTGCAACGTGTCTTGCTAGAGATGGGTCCGCAGAGCGGATGTCACAGAGAGCTAACTCTGAGATTCCTTGAAGGGACCTCTGCTGGTCCACACAGTTGGGAGCAAGACTTTCCCAAATTGGCCTTCCACATGGAACGGCGCTTATCACGTGACAATCAACTAGATGCGTTTTAATTCTCAGAGTTTTAATTTCGCCAATCAAATTCTTAGCTCTTTCGGTAACGTCACGTTGAAGGGAAACAATAAAATAATAAAATATATATAAAACAATAAAAATTCTCACGACGTTTCGACCATAACACAAACGGTCGTCATCAGGTGTGTCGGTTTGCATTAATTTATTTAATTCAATTTATTTAATTTCATATATTTTATTAATTTAATTAATGCAAACCGACACACCTGATGACGACCGTTTGTGTTATGGTCGAAACGTCGTGAGAATTTTATTGTTTTATATATAGTTTATTACTTTATTGTTTCCCTTCAACGTGACTTTACCGAAAGAGCTACGAATATGAATTACTGCAGTCACGAAAACTTTAAATCAAAACATTTTCGTCAATCAAGTGCAGAATTGCAGATGGAGTGGGCTTAGTCCATAAACTGACTCGACTTAAGGTCTCGGTTAATTCACAGACAAATGCCTGGACTTGAACCCATGCTTCTGAGTGGCGCCGGCTCAGAACTCTGACCTCTGAGTCACCTCCTATGCGACGTTGTTTTAAGACCGCGTAAATGTCGGCGAGGAGCAGACAAAGGTTCTGATGTACATCGGTGGTGGTGAGATCGTAGCCAGGGGTTGAACCCAGTCCACCGTGGCACTGGGCCCATGACTATAAAAGTGTACATGTTGAATTCTATATCAGGTCCATAGGATAGATGATAGAGTTGTGGGTGGTAATACGGACGACGTTTGAAGATAATAACACAAACCTGATGGACTGTTGACATGCAGCTGCAGGTACCCAATGTCGTGGATGTTTTGTGGAAACACCGTGACCTCGCAGCGATATCGCCCAGAGTCGTGGGTCTTGATGTCACTCACAGTGATGGAGGCATCGCACTTGGTCACATCACCCGTCCAGGTGGTGTGTAACAGCCCGTGGCTATCTCCATTGGCGAATTTATAGAGCTACAGTCAACAAAAGCGAGAGCATGCACAGATCAAAGATGTATGTACGTTGTATGTATGTTGTATGTTGTATGTACGTTGAACTTCTTTGGCACAGTGCATAGGCAACCGTGCTAATCGAAGGTGCGGGGGAAGGACAACAAACTAAACACGAACAGCGGTTTTAAAGAAACGGGTTTGCAATCTAAACAATTATTTAAAAGTCCGTAGGTCCAGTGGCTTCCTAACATTGGAAGGAAGAGCGTTCCAGACGACCGCAGCAGCACATGTGACACCGCGCGATGCGGTGACCATCTTTGTTCGATGGCCAGCCCAGAAGCTGCCGCGAAGATAATCGGAGCTCGCACCTAGAATGAATAAAAATGTCTTTAACATCTGTAGGATGCCTCCTGTCGCTATACAGGAGATGGTGAGATGTAGAGTTAGCACGGTTGGCTACGTATCGCGCGAAAGAGGTTCAACACACATACAAGAGACCTGCATACGATCTATACCTCCGCGGTTATATAAACAGACGTTATGACATCACAATACCATGTGACGTCATTCCTTTTGTACATATAAAACAGTCTAGCAGCACGTGCCTGCTAATTGCATTGTCTACCAAAATGTATATCAATGCTAGCAGGTGTACCCGTTCTTCGCACGGAAATGAATAGTTTAGACCTATTTTTAAGTTTATTCAATGAACGAATATAGATGAAGATGGCAGCCCGTGCCTCCTCTGGACGTGTCCGTCCAGCCAGCCAGCAAAACTTTAGTCTCATATGGCAACAGTTGTCGCACAGTTGTGCGGGGTACACGGCCTACGCGGAGGGTGGGGTGCGTGACGTCAGCAGACACACTGCGTGACGCTGCCGCATGCGGGTGACGTCACAGATGTGACGTCACGGATGTGACGTCACCGCTCACTTGCCATGCAAAATATATCCATTCTTGCGCCCACCCCCCCCCCCCCCCCCCCCCAAATACAAAAGTCTAGTTTTTTACTTTTTGAAATTGTGTACAGTCTGGAAGCTACCCACATGCCAAATTTCAAGTTTGTTGCATGTTGGGAAGTATGCTAAACATATTCACAAATTTCCCTTTTATAGATATATAGATAATCCTGGGAGATAATTTGAGACGGGGTTTGGATCAGCCACCCTTCGCCACTGGCTACGTATGCATAGAATTAACGTGAGCAGATACAAAGACAGCAGTAGCTGTAGCACACTATAGGGCAGTCCACGACTTACGAATATAATTAGTGCCTGTGACCCATTCGTAAGTTGGATGTTTGTAAGTCGATGACTGCATGTACATGGTTCCAGTGATGTATTTTTTTATTTCATTTGTACATTTTTATTAATATACTCTAATGATCGAGATAAATTACAATTATACATGGTATGAATAGGGAAAACAATATGTATTAATTGAAAGAATGGGTTACATCTATGGGACCTTTTTTTGCCAGTATCAAAGTCTGAAAAATAAGATAACTTTTACCCTTTCTAGAAATAAAACAGGTGTTAAGATGTTTAAACACCAAATATATACATTTTGCAAGGAATCAAGTCTGTTTAACACGTAGGCTTTCGCGACCAATATTATTCATAATAAAGGTTTTTGGGTTAGTTACTCCCCCCACAAAGGGGGGAGTAACTGGGCCAAGGGTCAAGGAGGGGATCGAACTGGAAGCTCCTGGAACCCGCGAGAGAGTTCCAGAAGGGGGGCGTGGCTGAGGGCGGGGCTTGGCCACGCTGGGAGGATATGAGGGAGAGGCAAACGGGAGTTCGGGGCTGTCGTGGGGATTCTGGTCCTGGCTGTCATCGCTGCCATTGCCGCCATCTCTTTGTTATCATCGTTGTTGCTGCATAGCCAGCCGGCTATGCAGTCCTCATCGCTGTCGTCACTATCTAGTCAGTCGGCTATATAGTCGTACGTCGCTGATGTCGCTGTATGGGTGGCCAAGCTACAAGCAACTCAGCACTTGTGTTATCCCGTGACCCTGTCCTTAAAGTATTAAGAGGTAAATAAGAAATCCTCTATAAGTCGTGTCTCAGAATTTGTCTCATTACACTATGATAGAGAGATTTGAGACTCACCCTCTCTTCATGTCCATCTATAGTCTGAAACCACTCCACCAGCGTGTGCATAACGCCGCTGATTGTACAGGTGTACGAGCAGGGCAGGAAAACCGTGCTGCCTGCTACGGCATTCATTTTCTCGGGGGTGATGACCATAAATTCTAGGGAAACAACAACACACAGCACCCACATTAGTACATCTCGTATGGAAAATGAGAATAGGTTTTTTTCCCTTTCTGGCAATAAAACATGAGGGATGTTGAGATGTTCAAACGCCGACTAGGAACCTTTTTGAAGACATTAAGTGTCGCATTGAGCACACAAAGTACTTGTGGTGAACATGCAAACAGACGTGGCTCTGATCATATGTGGGCATTGTCTTTGAAACTGATTGCTCTACACCAGAGACAGTAGCCTTCTTCATGTCTCACTAGCAGTGTCAGTAGACCAGTATAATAATAAATTATTACTTATGTATGCATTGTCATTAATAATAATATAACTAAGAGTTATATGACATTGTCTTTGAAACTGATTGGTCTACACCAAAGGACAGACTTATTTATACTCTTTCATTCTGTCCGTGAAGTCATGTAGGTATTTTATTTTATACCTACGTCACTTTACCGAAAGAAACAAATAGAATGGATTCCTGCAGTGACGAAAGCTTCAAATCAAGATTGACTTCTAGATTTAAAGCTTTCGTGACTGCAAGGATCCATACTCTTTGGTTCTATTCGGTAAAGTCACGTAGGTAAAAAATAAAACAACAAAATTCTCACGACGTTTCAGCCACAACACAAGTGGCCTTCATCAGGTGAAGGAACCAGGCTGTCTAGAGGACAGCGCTGGAGTGAACAAAGCCAAGCTCAGACCGCGACCTTTAAGCTGTGTGAGAGAAAACAGAGCGCCTTGACAAAGGAATTAGCATAAAAAATTAGCATTTAATTGGCAGACTTAGCATGATGAACGGTGCAGAGGGGGTGAACATTGTGCAGACCGGCGAGGAGGGGAGGGTGAGTTTACATATTGATGGGGTGAAAAGGGAATTGAAGCTACTGCGAAAATTTGGGATACCACTACTTGAAAAAAAATACACTGTACCATTGAAAATTAGTTTAATGTTTGGTTTGATTCAGAACATCTTTCCAATGGTTGCTTAGTTTGAAACCATCCTCTCGGCTGAAATTGTGTCTGTGTTTGTAGATCTGAATTGCCTCGTGAACAAATCTCTGATATAAAAAAAAAACCCGTGGGTTATTATGGCCTAGTTTCACCTGCAGTGTCAGGCCAGAGAATGCCACAAGGCAAACAGCACAAAGACAATTCACGCCTCAGAGCGTTTGTGGCTCGGGGTGAGCAGCTGTATCACGTTCTGATGGCAATTGGACATCGGTGTCGATGAGATTTATAGCCAGGAGTTGAACCACTCAGATATTTTGTCATCCTTATAGTGGCAACATGTCGTGAGATGCAGAATCCATTGGATCCCTCAAAGTGCAGCGCAACCTTTCGTGTTAAGAGCATGGCCCACAGAAGTAGATATCGCACAACTACCTCTGACATCCCACAGAGTGACCTCTGGTTCATGTGTGTGTGTTGAACTTATTTCGCACCATACGTAGCCAACCGTGCTAATCGGAGGTACGAGGCAACGACTACAAACTAAACACAATTCCTTTGTCAAGGCGCTTTGTTCCTCTCACACAGCTTAAAGGCCGTGATCTGAACGTGGCTCTTTCACTCCAGTGCTGTCCTACCAGACAGTCTCGTTCCTTCACCTGATGAAGGCCGCTTGTGTTGTGGCCGAAACGTCGTGAGAATTTTATTGTGTTATTTTATTTTATCAATTTATTATTTTATTCTCATTCTACGTGACTTTACCGAAAGAACCAAAGAAGATGAATCATTGCAGTCACGAAAGCTTTAAATCGAAAATTAAACCGTGATATTTCAAGTAAAAAACAACCGCAAATAGGCATAGTAACCTATGCCGCTGTTGCAGGCTGGTACACTCAGTTTACAACTTCGTTACTACCAGTAAAATGGATGTCAGTGACAAGAGAGTGACTCTCAATGACGTCACTCACGTGGTTAAATAAAGGATGTCAGTGACAAGAGAGTGACTCTCAATGACGTCACTCACGTGGTTAAATAAAGGATGTCAGTGACAAGAGAGTGACTCTCAATGACGTCACTCACGTGGTTAAATAAAGGGCGTCAGTGATAAGAGAGTGACTCTCAATGACGTCACTCACGTGGTTAAATAAAGGATGTCAGCGACAAGAGAGTGACTCTCAATGGCGTCACTCACGTGGTTAAATAAATGATGACAGCCACAAGAGAGTGACTCTCAATGACGTCACTCACGTGGTTAAATAAAGGATGTCAGTGACAAGAGAGTGACTCTCAATGACGTCACTCGCGTGGTTAAATAAAGGATGACACTCACACGAGATTTCACTTCGTTAAAGTGTTGAAAGGGGACGGACGGACGGACACATTAATCTATTGCAGGCTGGTACACTCAGTTTACAACTTCGTTACTACCAGTATAAGGATCACCCTTTCTGGCAATATAAAAACAAGTGTCAATATACTCTTTGGTTATTTCGGTAAAGTCACGTGGAAAGAGAAAATAATAAATTAAATAATGGCATGCAATATTTCTATCTGTGTGCCTGTGTGTGTGTCTCTCTCTCTCTCTGTGTCTTTGTGTGTTATCTCTCTCTGCTTGTGTGTCTGTCTGTGTGTCTCCGTGTCTGTGTTCGGTATCTCAAATTTAGGAGTCTTTGTAATCAACCAGGTAGGATGTCCGCTGTTGCTGGTAGGAACCTCCTGGTGACTACACCACCAGAACCACCAGTCCACAGGGGATTGTTGTTGTGTCCGTCCGTCGTGCATCCAACAATGGGAGGGGAGGGGCTGGGTGGGAGGGGAGGGGCTGGGTTGGAGGGGTGGGGCTGGGTGGGGTGGGGCTGGGTGGGGAGGGGCTGGGTGGGAGGGGCTGGGTGCGGGGTGGGAGGGGAGTGGCTGGGTGGGGAGGGGCTGGTCACCCCGTGGTGCCCCCCATAAAACTCAACGTTTCACCGACTCACGCCGGCTTGTGCCCGCCCTCACAGTCGGGCATCTTGTGCTGAACGCACCACCAACACCACGTGGTGGTGGTGCCGCTGTTGACCCTGGCCATTGACCGAGCTACCCAAACATTCCTACCAGCAGCTCCATCCCTCCCTCCGCAGGAGAATGTGTTAATGTTAGCGGACCCTCTGTGTTGTATTGCATTATATTTCTAAGTTTACTGCGTTTGTTAATCTCTTTCATTTGTACTTGATGATGATGATGATTGCTGGTGTTGCAATCGAAACGTCGTATGTTATTGTTTAATTTATTATTTGCTCTTTCTACGTGACTTTACCCAAAGAACCAAAGATTAATTCCTGCAGTAACGAAGGCTCCGAATCACGGTGTCAATGTGTTACAACACCAAACAGGATCCTTATTCAAGGGATCCTGTCTGCGTTAACCACACACACACACACACGGTGCTTGTGGTGACCATGCAAACACAACACACGCTCTGGGAACATATTTGCACGTGTCTTTGGAACTGATTGGTCCACACCTCGTCTCAAAGTGTGATCCCAGAGAACGCCAAAAGGCGAAAAAGCAGGGAAACGATGCCACGATCCGGGCATTTGCAGCTCGCGACGAGCAGCTACAACATGGGGCGACGTTTCTTGCCAGAACATCTTGACAGCTGTTTTATCGCCTATTGCTATTGTTGAATACTGGCAAGAAAGGTCCCATATTGCAACGAGGTGTAGTTAGTTACAATCGTTTTGTCAGGTTAATGAGGGAGATTGTTCGTTAGCTGACACGTTTCTGGAGGTAAATAATTGATTACTTTTACGACAAATTAAACGGTTATTTAATGCTACTCCGGTTCTTGGTGGAGCATTACTTTTGAAATGTGCTTTCTCGTGCGGTCCATAGCTATTGTCACTGCTCAGATAATAGTGGTGATGATGATGGTGGTGATGGTGGTGGGGGTGATGATGATGGTGATGATGGTGGTGGTGATGATGATGGTGGTGATGATGGTGGTGGTGATGATGATGATGGCGGTGGTGATGGTGATGATGATGGTGATGATGGTGGTGGTGATGGTGGTGGTGATGATGATGATGGTGACGATGGTGGTGATGGTGGTGATGGTGGTGGTGGTGATGATGGTGGTGGTAATGATGGTGGTGGTGATGATGATGATGATGGTGGTGATGGTGATGATGATGGTGATGATGGTGGTGATGGTGGTGGTGGTGGTGGTGATGATGATGATGGTGGTGGTGATGGTGGTGGTGATGGTGATGATGGTGGTGGTGGTGGTGATGATGGTGGTGGTGATGGTGATGATGATGGTGATGATGGTGGTGATGATGATGATGGTGGTGATGGTGATGATGGTGGTCATGGTGGTGGTGATGATGATGATGGTGGTTGTGGTGGTGGTGGTGATGATGATGGTGGTGGTTGTGGTGGTGATGATGGTGGTTGTGGTGGTGGTGATGATGATGATGGTGGTGGTGATGGTGATGATGATGGTGATGATGGTGGTGATGATGAAGCTGATTGTGGTGATGATGATGGTGATGATGGTGATGATGATGGTGGTGGTGATGGTGATGATGATGGTGGTGATGATGGTGATGGTGGTGATGGTGGTTGTGGTGGTGATGATGGTGGTTGTGGTGGTGATGATGATGGTGGTTGTGGTGATGATGATTGTGGTGGTTGTGGTGGTGGTGATGATGATTGTGGTGGTTGTGGTGGTGGTGGTGGTGATGATGATTGTGGTGGTTGTGGTGGTGGTGATGATGATTGTGGTGGTGATGGTGGTGGTGATGATGATGGTGATGATGGTGGTGGTGATGATGGTGATGGTGATGATGGTGGTGGTGATGGTGGTGGTGATGATGATGGTGGTGGTGATGGTGATGATGGTGGTGGTGATGATGATAGTGGTGATGGTGATGATGGTGGTGATGATGGTGATGATGGTGGTGGGGATAGTGGTGATGATGGTGGTGATGGTCATGATGGTGGTGGTGATAATGATGGTTGTGATGGTGATTGTGGTGATGATGATGATGGTTGTGGTGATGATAGTGGTCGTGACGATGATGATAATGTAGGTCGTGATGGTGATGATGATGTTGGTGGTGACGATGATGATGGTGGTGATAGTGGTGATGATGGTGGTGATGGTCATGATGGTGGTGGTGATGATGATGTTTGTGATGGTGATTGTGGTGATGATGATGATGGTTGTGGTGATGATAGCGGTCGTGACGA